GGCTTTAAAGCAATATAAAGCGGTATAGAAGTCTTAAGTGTATTGCTATCCTTCCTTCCCTCCCTCCCTCCTTCCTTCCTTCCTTCCTTGGTGGAGCAGTGGTTAGAATGCAGCATTGCAGGCTAACTCTGCCAACTACTAGCAGTTCAGTCCTGACCAGCTCAAGGTGGACTCATCCTCCCATCCTTCCGGGGTGGGTAAAATGAGGACCCAGATGGTTTGGGCAAGAGGCTGACTCTGTAAACTACTTAGAGACGGCTGTGAAGTGGTATATAAGTGCTATTGGTATTCCCACGACCATCTTCCCCCCGGCCGGGACCTACTGTAGATCATGCCCCAGCCAGTGACGTAGCAGGGTTGATGGTTGGGCAGCACCTCTCCTCGTGGGGGGAGGCACGCTGGCTGCACCTTGTCGTTGAGAACGGCCGGGCGGGAGAGTTTGATCAGGGCGATGTCGTTCCTGGAAGAAGAGGCGGTGGCGGTGGTGAGGAGGGGGCTTTTTCCTTCCCTCCCCCTGGGATTTCCTTGGCAAGAAGACACCCACCGCTAGCTCCTCCTTTGGGACAGGGACGGTTCTACTCACCCGCATTCGATGCAGGTGAAGTTCCAGCTGGGGTGCACGACAATGTCCTCGGGGTTGATCAAAATCTGCTGTCCCGGGCTTCCCAACTTGGCCAGGTTATATTCACCCAGGACAACCCTGTAGCGGATCTGTGGACTGATGGAAGGGGGCAGGGAGTGAGATTGTGGGGAGACCCAGCCCCACCATTAAGGAGTGGCTCCTTCACCTGCCCTATGCCCACTCCCCCATCCCCACACCAGGAGCGCCAAGGTGCCCGAGGGGACTCACTGGATGCAGTGCCCGGCGGTCATTACCCAGTTGGGGTGGATGAGGCTTCCCCCGCAATTGTGGTAGAAAGAGTCTCCAGCTTGGAATTGCAGGGACACCTGCGGCAAACAAGGGAGGGGTGGACTTATTAATGTTGCCCACCCAGACCATCCTCTTCCCCCCTCCCAAAAACACTCTTCATGGTCTGTAGCTGGGGTGAGCGGCTTTTCTCCAACCCCCC